GTGAATAGCTCAAAGTGTTAATAAAAAATAAAATAAAATATGTGCAAAAAAAACGAAATAAGATAATGAATAATGAAAAAACAATAATTTGTAAGAAAGGAAGTTCAACGCTGCAGGAAGATTACTTAAATATAAGCAAATCAAAAACAAAAAAATATTAACAATAAAAAAAGGGTGTGAAAAAAAATTAACTTATCTCTATATGCCGGGATGGCGCGTTTACAAACTCCACTGTACGATGAAGCAGAGATGATCGCTCTATTGTTGCAGCACGTGCCTTAGCACAAAGGGCACCGTCCGGTCTGGATAGACCGTATCTGCAGTTCTGCTGCTTCGTTGTACGGTGTATACGGGTGATGACCTTTTGATGCGATGTCTAGGTGGTGGTTGATTATTTGACCGTTGGACAATCCAATTTCCAGACTCGGCTGAGATGGTTGCTTCCTCCGGGGAACGTATACGTCCGCCTGTGGGGGTGAATAAAAAAACTCCGATCGGGAGAGAAAAAAAAATCCACTTTTTTCCGAAAAACAAAACTTTTTGCGGCGGCGGCACTATGGGAAATTTCCATACAAGCAGGCGGACAGAATTATTTTCTTCATTTTTGCTTCAATGTAAGGTGTTGAATGGTTCTAATTACTAATTGAGTGACGAAGAACAAATTTTGATGCTCTACGAACAACTTTTGATAAGGGCTTAGTTGATCTTTAATGATAATATTTTCAATTTTTTTTTCGCTTCTTTAAAGATGAGGATTTGCGAATCCTTGTCGACAAACGTTATCTGTTGTGCTAGTATCTGCTCCTCCCGATCTTGGTTGATGAACTCTAACTCCAAATTTGTCATAAAGCTGCGCCGTTACTTGTTTAATTCTTTGCAAATACTGTTCTTTATATGGCTGTAAAACTTTCCATTGCTTTATATCTATACGATACGAAATATGCAGTATACATTCAAAGAAGCGAATCCATGCATGAAGTGGAGATATACCATAAACAAGGGTATCTACATTGTATAGAAATCCTTCTTCTTATTTGTCTTTGTTGTTCATTACGTATGGAGTTGCCCCACAAATAGCACAGTTCTGCATTGATGAACTACCACAAATATATGTTTACACCTTACCGTCAATCATACTTAGTGCAAATTTAAAATCAACTAAGATTGTGTTTCCGTTTAATAGATCAAATTTCACTGGTATTGCGCATTTCACACCAAACTGGACTAATAACCGCGTTTTCACTTATTAAAAAGTGTGATTAAAGTGCGAGCTTCCGTCTAATTGTCTTGGTGTCTTCGGTGCACTTATTTCTTATGATGCAAGCAATAAGTGCTCCGAAGACATTAAAACGATTTGACGCAAAGGTGCACTATTATCACACTTTTTTAGATTTTAGGGGCAGTCCAATTTCAGATGCAATCAACAATATTAGTTCTAGCATTTCTTTCTCCACGTCTTATTTTGTAGCAAGAATTATCTCTTTACTCTCTTTCACGAATTGCAGGATGAATGGCCCACAAAACCGAATGTTTTGAGACATGCGGTTAAACCACATAATTTTGTTCGGATGATTCACCATACACTAATAAAATTCTAAACTTATAGTTTATTTGGTTCGTACACATACTTCTTATAAGATATTCAAAACATTATTTTTATATGAGTAAACATAAACATCATAACAAACCCCTTATCTGTTATAAGATAGCCCATAACACTTATATGAGTGACATATTTTATTTATATGTGTGATACCATTAAAAAAAATGTTTTGCATCATTATGCATCACATAATTTTGATGTTTGAGCGCTGAGTGGTGCTAACTTCTAACTGATTGGTGCAAGGCAAACGTGAGTAGGTGCATATAAATGGTTTGTTTGAAATAACATTTTTTTGCGAATTTTTCCGCAGGGATACGTCCAGGAGGAGCAGACGCGGGAGGAAACCGTATTGGAGAGAGTGTTGATGAGAATGCATCAGAATCATCTTGACATTCGTCTGGCAGTTCTTGATGATACTGGGAATAACCGGTTGAACCATCCATGCTCCAACTACTCAATAGAATCAATTCTGCATATTCCAGGTTATTTGATGTCATAAACTCGTCAAGTTCCATCTCAATAACTTTGATGATTCGTTGGACTGTATGTTGCAACAGAGCCTGTAGTTTCACCCTTATTTTGGACGCAGTTTCCTCAATGGATTTAATCGGAGGGACTTTTTTAAATGTCCCGAAAACATTATATGGTGGAAATCTTGATGGTGCCTCTATTGACTTTTGCTTAATCCAGCTTCAATGAACATACTAAATGCTTCTTCAGGTGACATCATTCCACGTTCATCTGTTAGCTGCGCGTATATTTTCTTTTAATGCTCTTGGGTTTTAATAAGGTATACAATGACCTTAACCAGATTAAAGTCCCGTTGATTATAGGCAGTCCGTCGGGTAATAAATAAAGCTGCCCACCTTTGGATTTACTTCCTCGGTGTCGACGAGACGACGCTTGCTTCTTTCGCTCAGCTTATTAAATTACGTTGAAGGTCTCCCTCGTTTTGATGGTGAAAGAACGTTCTGCTCCTTTTCGATGAATTCCTTGATGGAAAATTAGATTTGAGCCAACTCCGATGATCTGAATCAAATCTCTCTTTTTATCGTTGAGATTAATTCAAATTCTCCTTGTATTTACTGACGAGTTTGTAAATTATATCATGCAGTCGTGTTTGGTTTTCCACGTGGATATGATATTTTTCACAAATGTACTCGAAAGCTTTTTGAACGTTTTCGCTATGCGTTAGTTCTACGTCAAAAAGTGAAATAATATTTCTAATATCCATGTGCGATGAAACTAGAAATAGCCCATAACAATTTATATAAGATTCTGACATTGAAATATAAGTAGCTTCAACAAGTCTTGAATGATAGATAGGAATACCATAGAGGTAACTCTAAGACTAGAAGGTCCCGAAATAACGTGCTCAACTTTTTGGCTCAGCTCTGGTACTCTCTTCGGTCCCAAGCTAGTCGATTTACCCCTCGAAACATAGGAAAAACCAATAACCCCTCATTTTATCTGTCAAACTTTCATAGCGAATCAAAACAAACATTGCGTAGTACTAGAATTTCGACTAGAATAGGGTACGTTAATCGTTTGCTTGGGACCAATAGGCTACTAAAGTGGTGAGCCAATTTAAAATCGTTAGTTTCGTATTGATTGTTGGGAATACTGGGTAGCAGATGCATTATTCTACCTTTGAAACATAATTAAGCCCACAAATAACAGGTTCAAATATATATGATCATATACGCACCATCACAATACATTCTTCACAGACAAACAGACATAACTCATTGAATATTTCTCACTGTAAAACATCGTCGCTAAAACATTACCGCCATCTGTTGAGTGCACTGTGGTGGGTAGTACGCTGAACAGATGGCGGTAGTGTGTAAACGTCAAACGCAAGGGAATTGACTATGCGCACCACAGGTGGCGGTACTACCAACTACGATACTTTTAAATTGTCCGTTAAATGCTTGTTCGGTGAACAACTTTCAAGTGTTATGTCTGTTTGTCTGTGCATTCTTTATACATCGTGCTCTTTTGCTTTTTATATCAACAACTAAATTAGGTCCGTTGTTCAACAACATATTTCATTAAAACAAATCATTTCATTGTGAAAATTAAGAATAGGGTAAATGTTGGCTTCGGCACGAAAGACTATTTTCGGCAACCCATTTTCAAACGTTAATGACAATGAATTATCCGAGCAGAACATCTTGTTAGATGTATTCAAACGATTCCTTGGTTAATCAACTACAAAGGGTCCAGGTGTGGGAGCTGCCTCCCTGGCGTCGGTAGCATTGGTGCTCAGCACGGAAAACAAGATCGACGGAAAACAAACCAAGGAAAAAAAAATGAAAATCAGCTAATCTAATCAAATTTTTGAAAACGCTCTATTTCCAAATGGCGCAAGTTTGCGCAAGATTTTTTTTCTGAACTCGATAAAATACACATAAAACTCGATCATAGACCTTTTTGACGTTTAATCGTCTTTCTCTATCTAGCACACATGGATGAATGTACGGTTTGTTTTCCCACTAATCTGTTTCTCTCTTGCTCGCACTCGTTCGATTTAAATTGTGCAGTAGTGTGCGCCGATTAAACGTCAAAGAGCTCTATGGAGCATAAAATGACTTGGGAATGTTTGGGGAAAAAAATGGCTGACCAACAAAAAAATTAATTTGATGTTTTTCTTGCTATATCCACATTTTTTTTATTTTTATAATTTTTTAAAATAATTTCTTTGTATTTTATTGCATTCTCATTAAAAGGATTTTTCGTAAGCTTTCTAATGGTATGTAAAAACGGTAAAAACATATGAATAACTGTTCAATAAATAATAAAATATTATTTTAATGTGCGCTTGTTTTTTAAGCAAAAAGTGTATGATTTCAGCGCTTTTTCAACTTTCAAGTTGAATATCTCTTAAACTACAAATCGTAGATACCTAAAATTTTGGGCACTTCTTAGTCAAAGTGTTTAGATAGATAGAGTATTCCAGAAACTGAGTTAGAAAAAGTCAATTTTCCTATTTTTGTCCGCCTGATTTCCTATAGTGGGCGGGAGAGTAGCGTAAAGCAAACTTGCTCTGTCGAACATTCGACAAGGAATGCTCTAATTTTACTTATTTCCTAAACTATTCCTCTCCTTGTTAATCTGCTTAATGCTATTGGTCTGCTTGTGTTTTCTTATTAAAGTTCAAGACTAAATAAGCAGATTTATTCTACAACTTTAAAGGTTAGTTGCCTCCCTAAGCGCCCCCCCGCATCCTAATTCTTTTGTTAATCTATCGCGGCATGAGCCAGCAATGCCGGCCATAAACCTACCGTCTCCAACACTCCACTATAAAGCATGAAATTAAGCTCGCCCACCAACAGCAAAACCTAGCCAAGGGGAGGGATGTTAAAAAACATTATCTGATTAAGATTAATTTAATTTATTTAACATTCAAACGTACGTCTTCACATACTTCATAATAACCGGATCGACGTTCATGGGCTCCATTAAAGACTGTCGCATATTGCAATATTTTTCGTAGATGGCAATACTCTCGGTACTAACCGTCGGTATTGCAATGTCTTTCTGAGAAATCGATAGAGAACCATCTTTTCGAAAGTTGATTTCATTGTTCTGTATCACAATTCCATCCACCGGCTGTTGTCCCTGCAAGTATGATTGCTGCTGCTGCTGGTGTGAATCATTCTTCACTCCGGCGTAGTTCTGCGGATTACAGATTCGATTCATCTGGACGTACTTGTGGTATCTGGAATGGAACAAACAAATTTGGTTAGCTACGCATATTACGATCATGATTCTGTAGTACTTCAACATATCCGCTTTCTTTGGAACTTTGAGTTCGAACCCATAAACGTCCCCGGTCATTGGGAACATACTGCTAATAGTGACTGGATCTTCGGCTCGGCTGCTGTTGGCACTGCTATTGGGAGCTGTATTCCGAATGCTTCGGTCGTCGTCCTCCGAGTCGGAATCCTCATCCAAACTGGACGACGAGCTGTTGGTGGAGCTTGTCGAGGATTGACCGGTCAGGGAAGGATTTTTGATTGCTGCACTTTCGCGCCTACGGATCGGTTCGAAAGGACTGAAGTTTGTACGGAATGTCGGTACAAAGTTTCTCGCCAGCAGCGACAACTGATAGGCAATGTTCTCTTCGAATGATGTCAGTTTGAAGTTGTAGTAGAAGTTGGAATAGTAATCGATGATCTCCACATCGGTGGAATGAATTTTGATAAGTTCATTGACAACGCGATGATTGTCGCTAGTGGAGTAGGGGAGGTGTTTCATGACGAACGGTCTCACCCATTGAGTCAACGGTTCCGGAGAGATTTGCCGTATCACATCCACACGTGAGTTGTGGATGTAGAAATCGGTCTCCAGATCCCAGATGTGCGTAGGTTCTGTTGGAAATATAGTGAATTAAAATGCTAAGTAATCGTTTCATAGGTATTAAGTACTTACTGTTGACTTCAGATTCTGATGGAATGTAGTAACCCAGAAACAGGTTGATGCTGTGTTGTTTTTCCGTGTCGCTAAACGTATTGCTGCAATATCGACTTATGGTCTGTATAATATCATTTCCTTGGGAAGCCCAAGCAGCTGTCTTGCGATAGGTCTTTATACGGTGGACCAACTGGGAACCGCCGTATTGCAGAGCCAGCGTATCACCATGGTCTTCATAGAGATTCTCCAACATAGTTACACAATCGGATTCAAACTCCAATTTCCTTTCCTTCAGAAATCCAAGCTCGTACAGCTGATGGGCAAGGACACATTTTCCAATGGCAAACTGAGCAGTGTTGGTACGATCCAGACAATCAACGCAGTTAACCCGCACGAGACCCGTTTGTTGCGTAGTTGTTTCTTCATCGAGGAAGAACATACCGGTTTGCTGAATTACGTTCTCTGCATATTTAGCTAAACTTTCCATGACACTGCCCTTGCCTCTGCTCTTTCTAGCCATGTCAAAGTCAATGTACTTTATTCGAAATTGTGGAGGCAAGAATTGATTTAAATAATCGACACTCGCAACCATCTCACTACTTAGCACACTTTCGTGTCTTCGCTTCTCTCGTTTCTTTACAAGATTGAGTATGATGATCGGTGCTCCGTAATGAAACATCAACCGTTGATAATGCTTCCCGGACGTTTCTCCATACGGATCGGACAGATCAAGTGCAATCTGAGGTTTTGGAACCATTTTACTAACATCTTGCGACCAATGGGAAGGAACCGAACCTCGCAACTGTGTAAAGCTGCACATTCTTGTCCCATCGAGTACAATTTGTTCAGTTTCTACTTCGTTGGCAACATCTCCAAAATAGTTTGCACCTCGTTTCAAGAACCTGGTTCCAGCATACCGGGTACTTCTCCTTGCAATCAAACACACGTAGATAGGTCGCCCGAAGATGCTAATGCTGGATTGGCTGATGAACCCATGTATAACTTCCAACTTCCAATCCTTGAGCAGAATTCCTTCCATCGGTTTCAGTAAATATGCATTCCACACAAACCTATCCCGAGATACACCACGAAACGCATAGGTGGTCTTCTCACCGGCTTTGTTCTTCCACATTAACGGTTCGTCCTGCTCTATATCACTACGGCTTCCGACAAACTTAGGCGTCGAAACGTTATACTGCAAACTCCTAGTCAAATCGTAGCTGTAGCTGAAGTAGAAATTACTTTTCAAATCCACATTGTTGAACATCTTCACGTAACGTTGCTCCAAGGGATGAATCTGCTTTCCAACAGGAGCCTCATTAACCCGAATCATAGCCGTGTCTTTGATCGTGTAGATAATGTGTTTCCCTATAAATGCACATCGGGTTCTCTTGGTCACCAGAATCAAGTAATATCCTTCGAGGAATTTGATGAATCCCAGCACACCATAGGCACTGATGGATCGTATGAAAGATCTCGACTGGACAAATTTGCGAATATCGCTCTTTTCCAGTTCGTGTGCATTCTCGTGAATCGATAGCTCTGGTGATTTGCGGTCGATTTCCAACAGGCGGAAACGAGTTTCTTGGCTGTTGCTTCCAATTAGGTAAAGTTTCTATAATAGGTACAACAATAGTTTAATGATTTAAATAGAACTTAATTTCCCATGACTCACCGTTTTTGTTTCGAACAATGCAACCTTCTGAATCGAACTAATCAAGGGATAAAACTTTGTATTTGGATCCATTGTAGCCTTCTGACACTTACTTTGAACAGAAATTTATAGTTTAGTCATTATATTATAGAAATTCTGTAAAATTCGAGTGGATATTACAAAAAAATGTAATCGAACTAACGATAAAAATATTTACATTTCTGTTTTGACAGCAGAAATTACCGTACCATGGTGCTGTTAAGCTGGGACCTGTTAAAGACTGAACACAATGACAGCGGCACAGCGGTACAGCGGCAAACTAGAAATACTCAGATGAAGAGATAGGCGGAGAATTAAAATAAAAATTAAATTAAATAAAACAAAACAATCCTGCAGCAGGGATTTGTACCTACATTATCTTGCAACCCTTGCTAGAAGCCAGCATTTCACATGACTTTTATTTTTGATTCGATTTACGTGCAAAATAATAATTGATTACATCGCAATATTTTGCACATTGCTTGGTGCCATTCGAGGGGGGCGACCCATCTAAATCTCATTCTAGATGCTCACATTAGCGAATCAATCTTCGGAAAATCCGAGGAGGGTGACTCTATCTACGTTGCAGGAAAAATTGTGTTTTGCTGTGGTTAGCCGAGGGGGGCGACACATCTAAATCTCAATCATAGATGCTCGAAAAATCTCACGCCAGCGAATAAATTTACGAAAAATCTTCTTGCCATTTTAAGCATCTAAATCCATCTACTCGCATCGACTTCCATCTTTTTGCAGGAAATCTTCAAAACCTTCATCCATCTTCTTAAAATCTACTCATTGTACGGGCAGCTAAGCACAGCAAAACAAAATCGTTTCTGCATCGAATATAGAGTCGCCCCCTCGTGGTTAGCTGCATGCACACTGAGTAGATAGAAAGAAGATTGATGACGATTCTGAAGATTTCCTGCAAAAAGATGTGCGATGCAAGTAGATTTGAGAAATTATTGAAGATTTTTCGAAGATTGATTCGCTAGTGTGAGATTTGTTGAACATCAAGAACTGATATTTAGATGTGTCGCTCCCTCGCTCTAGATCTTCGATGAAGTTTTCAACATTTTCCTGAAATGTAACTTTCCCGATATTTGAAACTTCTGTAAAGATATCATTACTCCCCAAAGTTCTCTAAACTTCTAAAAAAATAGAGTTCTCTGGACTTCCCTAAAATTCATTGAACTTTCCTGAAGCTTTCAATGTTTTACTAATATTCATAATTCTTTTGCGAAGCTCTAACAAAAAAACATAGACGAATGATAATCCAAATGATGGAACTATTCCAAAAATGGTTTGCATGATACCCAGAACACGTTGTTAAGCAAAATAACCACCTTAACCTATTATCGTCAGGGGGTAAACAAAGTACTAGAGCACTCAAATTTGGCTAATAGTTGCTCTGAAACACAATGCCAAAATTGAGCTCTTAATGACGTTGTTTACCCCCTGACGATAATAGTTAAGGTATTGCCGAAGCCAACCTTTCCCCTACTTCTTCAAAGTGCTCCAAATTTTTTTAAAGTTAATGCAAATTCAGAGACGATCACTGAACTTTGGAGAATTTCAAAGCCTCGATCTACATCAATCTTCGGAAAATCTTTTTCATTTCTCGCATCTACTTGTATTGCGAAATCTTCAGAATCGTCATCAATCCTCTTTCTATCTACTCAGCGTGCACGCAGATAGCCACAGCGAAATACAATCTTTCCTGAATCGTAGATAGTCACCCCCTCGATCTAGAGTAGTTTTTGGAGAACTTCAGAGTAGTTCTGACGAGAACCATAGATGTAACTCCAAGACCAGAAGGTCCAGAAGAAACGTGCTCAACTTTTTGGCTCAGCTCTGGTACACACAGAGTTTAGATTACCGAAGTCGGTAATATTTTACTGGGTTTTTAAACAGCTGAGTTTTCAGTAATCAACTCAGTTGTTTTTTCTTTAACTGAAAACTCGGTAAATGGAAAAATCCCTGAAATGTCAAAAAATACCGTTTTAGTCAGTAAAATAATTGCTGACTTTTTCAGTACATTATTTGTTTCCTTTTTTTTGCTGAGTTTTTCAGTTCTTTTATTTCAGTATTTTATTGAATAAATATTAATGAGTAATAAATAAAATATTTCGGATTTTTTACAATTTAGGGGAGTTTGTTTAGAGGTGGAATAGCAATACGAAACTAACGATTTTAAATTAGCTCACCACTTTAGTAGCCTACCCGCATAAGCGCGAACCATAAATTGACCTTACCGATAATGGTTATAAATTGTTTATAATCCCTGCTAAACTTCAACTGAAATGGTTATGGAACTTTACATGAACGTTTAATGATAAAGTTTTAACCTTAAGTATTATAGTTTTTTGGAAGTGGACCTTACAAATAATGGGTTGTTAAGAACCATTACCATTCCAAATTCTTGTTTTCTCCATACATTTTCGGAAAGAAAACTTTACTAAAACCTTTTAAATTATGGTTTAAGAACATTAATGGTAATGGTTATGGTAACCAGTAAGGTCCATGAATAGTTTTGTAACATCGTCAACTTTATGTGGAATATATCGCGAATTGGTTGCCTGTAAATTACTGATTACCAATTCACGGTATATTTCACGTAAAGTTGAGTGATAATACAAAACCATTAATGGACCTTACTGACTACCATAACCATAACCATTAATGTTCTCAAACCATAAGTAAAAACGTTCTAATATAGTTCTCTTTCCGAAAATGTATGGAGAAAACAAGAATTTGGAATGGTAATGGTTCTTAACAACCCATTATTTGTAAGGTCCGCTTCCAAAAAACCATAACACATAAGGTTAAAACTTTATCACACAAACGTTCATGTAAGGTTCCATAACCATTTCAGTTGAAGTTTAACAGGGATTATAAACAATTTATAACCATTATCGGTAAGGTCATGTGATGGTTCGCGTTTATGCGGGTATTGGTCCCAAGCAAACGATTAACGTACCCTATTCTAGTTGAAATTCTATTACTACACTATGTTTGTTTTGATTCGCTATGAAAGTTTGACAGATAACATCAGGGGTGTGTGGATTCATGCAGAACATGCAGGGGTGAGTGAAATAGCTTGGGACTGCTTGGGACCGTTGTTCTGGTACTGAGTGAGCCAAAAATAATAATGATTTTCTTCGGGACCCCGTGGTCTTAGAGTTACCTCTATGGTAATATCAACAATCAATACGAAACTAACGATTTTAAATTGGCTCACCACTTTAGTAGCCTATTGGTCCCAAGCAAACGATTAACGTACCCTATTCTAGTTGAAATTCTATTATTACACTATGTTTGTTTTGATTCGCTATGAAAGTTTGACAGATAACATCAGGGGTGTGTGCATTCATGCAGAACATGCAGGGTGAGTGAAATAGCTTGGGACTGCTTGGGACCGTTGTTCTGGTACTGAATGAGCCAAAAATAATAATGATTTTCTTCGGGACCCAGTGGTCTTAGAGTTACCTCTATGGTAATATCCCGTAAATCTGTTATTTTACGGTCAATTCAGTACTTACTGTTACCATAGAGGTAGCTATAAGACTAGAAGGTCCCGAAGAAACGTGCTCAACTTTTTGGCTCAGCTCTGGTACTCTCTTCGGTTCCAAGCTAATCGATTCACCCCTCGAAACACAGGAAAAACCAATAACCCCTCATTTTATCTGTCAAACTTTCATAGCGAATCAAAACAAACATTGCGTTGTACTAGAATTTCGACTAGAATAGGGTACGTTAATCGTTTGCTTGGGACCAATAGGCTACTAAAGTGGTGAGCCAATTTAAAATCGTTAGTTTCGTATTGATTGTTGCTATTACCGCACTCAGTAGTTTCTCGCAAAAACTATAACTGAACATCAGTAGTTTGGTTGAGAATAGCTGAATGTTCAGTAGTTTTTGCAAGAGTTTTTGTGATTTACAGTTATAAACCTGTAAAAAAAATTACCGAACAAGGAATCCGTGATTAAGTGTGTACTCTCTTTGGTCGCAAGCTAATGAATGCACCCCTCGAAACATAGGAAAATCCACGAACCCCTCATTTTATCTGTCAATCTTTCATAGTGAATCAAAACAAACATAGTGTAGTACTAGAATTTTAACTAGAATGGGGTACGTTAATCGATTTGCTTGGGACCAATAGGGTAGTCAAGTAGTGAGCCAATTTGAAATCGTTAGTTTCCGCTATGCCGCTATCATTGTGTTCAGCCCTTAAGAAAAGCATCATCAAATTGCTTGGCTCCAAATGAAGGTTCGTGACAGCTTGGTTCTGGCTCCTTTTGACGTTCATATTTTTCAAATCGGCTTCTTCCTCCCAGATAATAATAATAAAATTTCCAACATCGGATAGCTGAAACTGAACATTTCAGAAGAACGAAACTTCTTTAATAATGAGCGGCTCCACCGCCGATTAATCACGAATAAGCTCACTAAATTCCAACATGGCTGAATCATGAATTTGACACATTGGAACACCTATATATAGTCACCTTGGTTTATTATTAGGTTTTGCACCGTCGGGATTAACCTCAATCTGATGACAGTTCCGTGGCTTTACGTTAATGAGGTTAAGGTGATACGATACCAATGACGTTTATATAAGGGCTGGGCCAAAGGGCTTGTTGGTGTTAGTGACGTGTGCAAATGTTTAGTGGTGTGCGTATTTTATTGCAATGTTTATCTTTTTACACGAAACAGCTGTTGGCAGTGACGTATTTCTATCTGTTCTCAGTATGTTGGCAGTGACGTATTTCTATCTGTTCGCAGATGTTCAGCAATGTTTACAACATTTTTGCTTCTAACACCAGCAAGCTGTTTGTTGGCCCAGACCTTATATAAATGTCATTGATACGATACGTCACGCTTTTTTTGCTTTTTTTCTCTCCTTTCTATGTGTCAGTGAATTGATTATCATTGATGCTGTAGTGGTGTGAGTGTACATCATGCACTACCGCAACTACCGTAAACATAGCTGCTAGAGTTCTTTATTATTAGGTCGCATGTGTAACAGTTGATAAAAAATAAGAAAGGTAAAGAATAAAGGGTGATACGGTCAAAATTTGGTCAAGGGAAAACGCGTGTAAATTGGTGAAATCGTTTATTT